ATAGGCAGAATATTGTCAAAATGGCCATACTATATACCAAAAGTGTTATACAGATTTATTGCAATTCATATTAAAATTGCAATGATAATCTTCATAGAAATAAAAAAATCATGAAATTTATTTGAAAATAAGAGATCCAAAATACCCAAAGCAATCCTTAGCAAGAAAAGTGAAGCAGGAGGCATCACAATAGAAGATCTTAAATTATACTATAGAGCCATAGTAACAAAAACAGCATGGTATCGGCACCAAAACAGACACATAAACCAGTGGTACAGAATAGAAGACACAGAGACAAATTCACATAAATACAGTTATCTCATACTAGACAAAGGTGACAAAAACATTCATTGGAGAAAAAATAATCTCTTCAAAAAATGGTACCAGGAAAACTGGAAATCCATATGCAGTAAAATGCAATTAAACCTCTATTTCTCATCCTGTACAAAACTCAACTCAAAGTGGATCAAAGACTTAGGCACTAGAACAGAGACCCTGTGTCTAATAGAAGAAAAAATAGGCCCAAATCTTCACCATGTTGGCTTAGGAACTGACTTCTATAAGTTATTATTTGGAGCATTTTTTTTTACCTGAATGTATCCAAATATTTGGGAACACATCCTTCCTCTGCATTTAGTTGCAGAAAAATTAGGGGATTTGACCAGATTTGAATCCAGTAGGCATGATAAGCTCTATCACACCTGGTCCATCCTCACACTGCACAGATGAGACAGAAAAAAAATAATTAACCAGGGTGTTTGCAAAGGTTGAACACTTTTATGGCCTTTATTAATGTTGGTAGTCATGCAAACTTTGGAATGAGCAATGAAGTTTAGTGATTATAGGCCTGGGCAGTGAGCAGATTGGCTTAGAAAAGGACATTCACCTTCATTCACTTCTAAGGGAAGAGAACATTTCTTGAGCTCTTTCACCTTTGCTATCCTAGCTAGATCAGCTTGTATTTTTAGCATACACCACTGGAGTCCAACCAATTAGGAAAACAAACAGCACTAAGTGCATTTCCTGAAAATGGTTCTGCTTGGGCAGACTGGGTGTGTGGATGGGGTCGTACATTAAGCCTTAAAAACAGTATTACAAGATTCATTCATTTATATTACAAGAATTGGGTGGGTGCTTACTATGAACCAGACACTGTTCTAGTACTGGAGATACAGTGATGAACAAGATAAACAATGGAGATGAAGTTCCTGCCCTTATGGAAACTAGGTGTCTATCACTCATCATGTATACATGGGTTACAAACCCGTTACAAACCCCACAACTTTCAAGTTTGTCTGGCCAATGTCTTGCTTCTTTTAACTTCTGCTATCTTGCAAGGTGTTATTTTTTTAATTGATTTGGAGAACATAGATATTATCAATCAATAATTCAGTGCTCATCTGCTTTTATGTTTAATTCCAAAAGACAAACTTTTCATTCATTGTGCTGTTTCACTCACTTAGAAAACCCATTCATTCTTCCACCTTTACAAATTTCACTGCCTTTCAAGGGTCAGGGGTTTCATGTCCTTCATGAAGACTTTCCCATCTCCATCAATTCCTCTGAATTTTGTAGTACTCAGATAGCTGCCAGAATGCTACAGTGGGTCATTATTACATACTTTTTTTAAACATCATTTGTTTGTTTTTATTTCCTTTAATCTTATTTTACCAGCTAGATTGTGCAGTCCTTACCATGAGGATGGGCTTTATTCTTTGATGGCAGCTAGCTTATTGGTATGAGACTTAAAAAATATGAATGGTAGATTTTCACTTGCCAATTAAAAAGTTTTCAAATATTTGAGTTATGTTCTGAGTGATTCACATATATAGTCACTTAACATATTTTGAGTACTTATTATGTCCTAAATGATGGGTTACTGTGAAGTTGAAAACATAGTGGTTCCCATTGAGGGACTCATGTTTTCTTAACTGAATGAAGAAAAACTAAGCAACAATTCAATAATTTTGAGATAAAAATAAACTCATCTTGTTATTCTTGGTTTTTATTCTCAGAAACTTCTTGTATGTGAATATGTGTGTGCATGGGTGTTTGTGAGTGTGTGGGGTGTGAATTATTTTTTATTTATAAGAGGAAAGATCAACTGTAACCTATCTTAAGGAACTTCTATATTATGCTGAAATTTTCCACAGGAAAACAAGGTGAGTGGATAAAAACTAACATCATCCAGATATTCAAAATGTAGACAAGAAACCACCAGAAGACTGATCTATATTTGCTTAACACTAAACAATAAATCCTTGAACTGGTCCTCAGTAATAGGACTTTTCCTCTTCATGCAATTTGAAAAATGAATGTCACTGTGGCCAAAACAATTTTTGAACCTGGTATAACAAAAAAAAATACCTCTGGATAATATAGGGAAAAATATGATCAAATGAGATGAAGTAAGTAAAGATATGGAAAATATGATCAAATGAGATGAGGAAAGTAAAGCCCATTCATTTCAACACACTGTGATCCAGAGCCATTCACAACTCTGTTTTTCTTTAAACACACAAATGGAGGCCTTAAAGTAGCTTTTTGATATTTTTTCACTTCAGTGCTCTCTATTGTTTGCCAAGCCCATCTGGGCAAGCCAAAATGAGACCCATTTCCTTCTTGGTAGTTGTTTGGTGTGTAAACTTCTCACTGTGTATGTTTTCATGTGTTCCCTGCCTGCTTATAGGAATATTTCTCCTGTGATCCAGGGCTTTCAATGGTGCTGAAAATGTGGATTTGTTCTTTAACTTAATAATAACAACACTGACTTATGAAGTGCTTGAGGAAATACCTAATGTTGCATAAAAGCGGTGCCTTAGATATAATTCCTGGCACACTGCTGTCATTAGAAATGGAGCCAAAGACAATTTCAATGTCCTGAGAACAAATAGTACTGGGGGTTAAGAGGGATGGCATCTTATTTCTCAAGGTGGAATGAGCTGATTTTTACTCCTGGATTGCTACAATTTTTGTTCTGATCCTGTTGTGATGCTTTTCACTTTGTGTGCATGTATGTGAACATGTACATGTTAAAAAATATTTCTGATTTTTTTATTACACAAATCCAAGTAAAACAATGATTTATACTTGTGGTTTGGTTTGTTTTGCTCTATGACAAATGGTAAAGCCAGAAACGGTGCCAGGTGGATTAGTATAAAATCACTCAAGATTAGGTTTGGAAACACTTGGGGCACTTTTTTTTTACATGGTTGCTCTGCCTTTCTAGAGTCTTGAAAATCAATAAGATGTACTTTGTATCCAAGAGTGAAAGGACAGTAAGTGGTCAGATTCCAAAAGAAATAGAAGAAATTAAGACTGTGGGCCAATAAGGTGGCACATGTTTGAGTCTCCATCCTAATACCATATGCCAGTATCTGTTTATGGTCTGGAAAGTAGGGGACCCACAAAGAAAGGAGAGTTCTAGGTTAATGCCCTAACTTCCATGACTCTGAGTGACATCTTACTGATTTTCTGTTTCCAAACTGGAATATGCTACAGCAATTTAGGTTTCCCTAGGGTAAGAAGACTCCTTTGTCACATACAGTAGCTTATCCTTTACGCATTTCTTTCTATTGCCAGATTTCAAGACCTGTGAGTGGAAGACCACAGGGCTCACTCATCTATATATTCCCCAGTCTTAGTATTAATTCTATAAAATTGTTCAATGAATGAAATAGTGAAAGAATTAATAGCAGAGAAACAGAGAATCCTTGCTGAAAACACTTTCTTCCATGTGATTTTCCAAGGAAGATTTCCATTTACTTTTTAATTTTATGTATTGACACAAACCTGGTTTGGGTCTACAATTAACAGGAAGGAAAAGGAAGAGACTCTTATTTCATTAAAAAACTGTAGACCTAAAAGGGGGGCACATATCCTATTGAAACTAAATTTGGGCAATTGAAAAAAATCATTACAGTAGAAGATGGAAATATATAATTATTTAGCTTAAAGATATATCTTCCATACACACCACTTCTGACATACTCTGTCTCATACACCCACAGATAATCTAAATGATATACACAAGAGTACAGTCTACAAATTTCCCTGTGTCATTATTAAGTTTAAAAATAGAATTTTAATGGGTATATTATTCTTTAATGGTGTTATACTAAATTTAATTTAAACAATCCCTTGTTGTGACTATAAAGTAAAGAATTATCTTACCCAAAGAGTAGCCTGGCTGTTGCCCTTGGCTACCTAGATAATCTCTAGGCCCTTGAAATATCCTAAGCATGTCTTTGTTTACCTGGGGTCTTGGGGAACATGTAAACAGTCTAATAATATGGTTTATGATGGGGCTTTGGGCCATGTGGTATCCACTCTACCTCCAGATGGACTGGAGATTGAAGGTCACCTACATGGACAATCAGCTATGTTTACATGATCAAACCCCAGTAAAATATCTGGACTCACAAGATTCAAGTGGTTTTCTCTGGTTCACAATACTCTCTCTCTCTCTCTCTCTCACACACACACACACACACACACACACACACTTGCCAGGGTGGAGTTCTCACTCTTGTCTACTGGAAGAGGACAAATGGAAGCTCCCATTTAGAAATTGCCTGGATTCTGCCTTATGTGCCTCTCTCCTTAATCTGGATTCTTTCATTGTAAAAAACTGTAAACACAAGTATGAAACCTTTCAGCAAGTTCTGTGACTACTTACAGTGCATTATTGAAACTGAAGGTGTCCTTGAGAACCTCCAGTCCTAATAACTAACATCAGAAGTGAGGGTAATTTTGTGGATTATGCTCAACCTTCAGGAGCTTTTACATCACTATGACTAAAAGACCTGATCAGAACAACCTCAAGGACAAAAAGACTATTTTGGCCCATGGTTTCTGAGGTTCAGTTTATGGTTAGGCAACTCCATATCTCTAGGCCTAACGTGAGGCAGAACATCATGGTTGTATTAGTTAGGGTTCTCTAGAGGAACAGAATCAACAGGAAGTATAATTATAGAAGGGGGCTTATTAGGTTGGCTTACATGACCAGAAGCTGGATAGACCACAATGGCCATCTGCAGGCTGGAGAGCTGGAAGAACCAGTAGCTTCGCAGTCCAAGAGGCTGAACCCCATAACAAGAGGGATCAATGGTGCTACCCTAGTCTGAGACAGAAGGCTTCTGGGAAATCACTGGCAGAGTCTTCTTTGGAAGAGTGAAGAAGCGAGAGTCCCATATTCTCAGACAATTGTAGCAGCAATCAAGGAACCCCTTCAGGAAGAATTCAACTTACATCTACTGCTGCTTTCTTGTTCTTCCAACTTTTATTCCATCCAAGCCATTATCCAATTGGTTGGTTCTGCCCACACTTAGGGAGGGTCTCTGTTTCAATTGGCTATCCCACATATGTCAATCATTCCTAGACATACCCTCATCAACACACCCATAATCCTCAGCATCTCTTAATCCAATCAAATTGAAAATTCAAATTAATCATTACAATGGTGGAAGAGTGTGACAATGGAAAGCAGCTCAGGATATGGCAACCAGAGAGCAGAAAGAGAGCTTCTCTCACCAGGGACAAACTATAAACCTCAAAAATCTCTCCCCAGTAGCCGCTTCCTCCAGTCATATCCTACCTGCTACAGTTATAACCTAGCTAATCCATATCAGTGGATTAATTAGGTCACAACTCTTATAATCAAATTATTTCACCTTGAAATATTCTTTCATTGTCTTCCACATGAGTTATTTGGGGACATCTCATATCTAAACCATAACAATATCTTTAAAAAAATGTTTTTAAACTTATATATGACAGCAGAATGCATTCCAATTCTTATTACACATATAGAGTACAATTTTTCAAATCTCTGGTTGTATACAAAGTATATTCACACTAATTCGTGTCTTCATACATGTATTTTGGATAATAATAATAATATTCCACCATCATTTCTAATCCCATGCCCCCTCCCTTTCCCTCCCACCCCTCTGCTCTATCAAGAGTTTATATATTCCTCCTATGCTCCCTCTTCCTACTCCCTATCCCACTATAAATGAGCCTCCTTATATCAGAGAAAACATTCGGCATTTGGTTTTTTGAAATTGGCTAACTTCACTTAGCATTATCTTCTCTAACTTCGTCCATTTACCTGCAAATGCCATGATTTTATTCTCTTTTATTGCTGAGTAATATTCCATAGTGTATATATGCCCATAGCAACTCTTAGCAAATATAAAAAAGTAGAGATACTACCTGCAGTCTATCAGATCATAATGAAATGAAATTAGAAGTCAATGATAAAATAAGAAATAAAACCCACTCCAATACCTGGAGACTAAATAATATGCTACTGAATGAACAGTGGGTTGCAAAAGAAATCAAGGAGGAGACTAAAAAAAAATTAAAGGTGAATGAGAACACAGATACAGCATATTGAAATCTCTGGGACACTATGAAAACAATTCTAAGAGGAAAGTTCATTGCATAAAGTTCATTCCTCAAATGAAGAAAAAGTAAGCAAATAAATGACTTAACATTACATCTCAAAGCCCTAGAAAAAGAAGAACAAATCAACACCAAAAGCAGAAGACAGGAAATAATTAAAATCAGAGCTGAAATCAATGAAATTGAAACAAAAGAAACAATTGAAAAATTTGACAGAACAAAACGTTGGTTCTTTGAATAAACCATAACAATATCTTAATACATTTAATGGAAGTTCCCAGCTATCTTCTTAGCACTCATGATAGGCTCTTGCACATAAAGAGTACTTGATAAATGTTATGACAAAGAATAAATGGATAGATTTATGGAAGCCAGTGCCCAAATTCTAGGTCTTTTATTAGAAAAAGACACACCTTTCAAAAGCATAAAGTCTTAAAATATTGCAAACTATCTCCTACCCCTCTGCTCTATCGAGAGTTTATCTATTCCTCTTATCTAAGGACAATTTTCTAGATACATTGGAAACATTAGTGAAATTACTACATTTTGAGAGAAAGTGCCCAGTGGGCCTGGAAAGGAATGGAAAACAGATGTGCAACTTTTCAACAACTTGTTTAGTGACCAAGGATGATAGGTCCTTGCTCACTGCCAGTGTAGTCCTGGGAATAATTCTCCTCAGTCTTCCTACCAGTACCAGTTTGATGGGTGTGAAAACTGTGAATCATAGGGCCCTACATTCAGAAAGGTTCATGCTTGGTTTAATGCTACTATCACTGACTAAGAATTCTTAATTTTTTTAACAAGGGGTCCTAATTTTCATTTTGCACTGGGCTCTGCAAATTTTGCACAAGATGCTAGCTCCTACTAACAGGTGGCTCCTCAAAAAGCTTATTGAAGAGGGTAACTGAACAAGCTAATAAGCTAATAAGCATTTTAAAGTTGGGGTAACTCTCAGAAGAGTATAATTAAAGGAAATAAGTAGAGTCTTACCAATGCAATTTATCTTACTCACATTAACACTTATGTCAAAACCTACCGATTTTTTTTCCAGTTTCTTATCTGTCTTTTCTCTAAATATCTAAATGGTTTTCATTTTATTCTCTTCTAGGTCTTTCTCCTCCTTTCCTATCCTTTAAGTTTTCTTCTCCTCTTCTCTATTCTTTCTTTCAGGATCTATCTCTGCCTTTACTATAAGGAATAAAACTATATTTAAAACTAAATTTGAATTTATGAAATGGATTATGTTTTCATTTTATTTTTTAAATGAGTTAAGTTGGTACTCTGTATTTCTATCTATCCTTTCCAAAAACTTCATCTTTTTTTATTATATAACATGATACCCAATTAAATTTTTGGCCTTTGAATTTGGGACCTGTTCAAAGAGAAAGCAAAACAAATAAGCAGAAGAGGAGCAGCGGCCTGCTGAGGGGCAGAGCCGCCCCCTCCCCCTGCACCGGCAAGGTAGAGGGAACTGTGACCACCCACAGAGCAGGCCCAGCGGCCTGCTGAGAGGCAGAGCCGCCCCCCACCCCCCACGCCTGCCAGGTAGACGGAAATGTGACCACCGACAGAAAAGGCCCAGTGGCCCGCGGCGGGACAGAGCTTCCAATCACTCCTGCAAGGTAGGCGGGCCTGCGACCCACCGGCAGAAGAGGAGCAGCAGCCTGCTGAGAGGCAGAGCCGCCCCCTCCCCCTGCGCCGGCAAGGTAGAGGGAACTGTGACCACCCACAGAGCAGGCCCAGTGGCCTGCTGAGGGGCAGAGCCGCCCCCCACCCCCCGCGCCTGCCAGGTAGGCGGAACTGTGACCACTGACAGAAAAGGCCCAGTGGCCCGCCACGGGACAGAGCTTCCAATCACTCCTGCAAGGTAGGCGGGCCTGCGACCCACCGGCAGAAGAGGAGCAGCGGCCTGCTGAGAGGCAGAGCCACCCCCTCCCCCCGCGCCTGCAAGGTAGATGGAACTGTGACCACCATCAGAACAGGCCAGACCTGCAACCGACAGACAGAACAGGCCCAGTGGCCTGAGGAAGGGTAGAGCCGCCCTGCCCCCTGCGCCTGCAAGGTAGGCAGACCTGCGACCCACTGGCAGAACAGCCCCAGAGGCCTGCAGAGGGGCAGTGCCACTGCCTGCGCCTGCAAAGTAGGCAGAACTGCGACCACCGACAGAACAAGCCTAGCGGCCCACAGAGGGACAGAGCCGCCGCCCGCGCCTGCAAGGTAGGCGGACCTGCTACCGACCGGCAGAGCAGGCCCAGTGGCCTGCCGGCGTGGTAGGCACATTGCCCCAATTGGAGGAGGGGCAGAGCCGCCGCCCGCGCCTGCGAGGGAGACTTTGCAACTATACAAGACCAATATAAATATATAGGGGGAAAATTCAATAGCACAACAGTTTCATCAAGTAGAAAGGAACGCGAACAGTATGAAGAGACAAGGAAAGAAAGGACCACAAGCAATGCAGGTCAACTCAACGTTAGAAGAGGTAATAGCTGCAGCAGATGGAATGTCAGATAAAGAATTCAGGATATACATGCTTCAGATGATCTGGAGTCTCAAGGAAGACATCAGACAGCAAAATCAGACAATGAAAGATCACTTCAACAATGAATTACATAAACAAATCCAAGAAGCAAAAGATCAACTATACAGGGAGATAGAGGTTATAAAAAACAAACAAACAGAAATCCTAGAAATGCAGGAAGCAATAAACCAACTTAAAAACTCAATTGAGAATACTACCAGCAGAGTAGAACACTTAGAAGATAGAACATCAGACAATGAAGATAAAGTATTTCAACTTGAAAAGAACATAGACAGCTCAGCAAGACTGTTAAGAAACCATGAGCAGAACATCCAAGAAATATGGGATAACATCAAGAGACCAAATTTAAGAGTCACTGGGATACAGGAAGGGACAGAGTTTCAAACCAAAGGAATGAGCAATCTATTCAATGAAATAATACGAGAAAACTTCCCAGACTTGAAGAATGAGACAGAATCCCAAATCCTAGAAGCCTACAGGACGCCGAATGTGCAAAATCATAAGAGACCCACACCTAGACACATTATAATGAAGATGCCCAACATACAGAATAAGGAGAGAATTTTAAAAGCTACAAGAGAAAGGAAGCAGATCACATTTAGGGGTAAGCCAATCAGGATAACAGCTGATCTTTCAACACAGACTCTGAAAGCTAGAAGATCCTGGAATAACATATTTCAAACACTGAAAGAAAATGGGTTCCAACCAAGAATTGTGTTTCCAGCGAAATTAAGCTTCAGGATGGAAGATGAAATTAAAACCTTCCACGATAAACAAAAGTTAAAAGAATTTGCAGCTAGAAAACCATCTCTTCTAAACATCCTTGGCAAAACATTACAGGAAGAGGAAATGGAAAATAACAATGAAAACCAACAGTGGGAGGTAAGACAGTAAAGGGGGGAAAAATAATCAAAGAGGAAAACAAACCATGTTTAGTAACATAAATAAACAAATATGGCTAGAAGAACAACCCATATCTCAATAATAACCCTAAATGTTAATGGATTAAACTCACCAATCAAGAGACACAGGCTAGTAGAATGGATCACAAAACAAGACCCAACAATATGCTGCCTACAGGAGATGCATTTGATAGGAAAAGACATACATAGGCTGAACGTGAAAGGTTGGGAAAAATCATATCACTCATATGGACTTCGGAAACAAGCAGGAGTGTCCATACTCATATCAAATAAAATAGATTTCAAGCCAAAGTTAATCAAAAGGGATAAAGAGGGACACTACATACTGCTTAAGGGAACCATACACCAACAAGACATAACAATCATAAAT